TTTTATATTAAATACATGCTAAAATAATAAATTCTTGGATACATTGAGTTAAATAAAATATATTAAAATTAATGTCACTTGCTTCTCTTTATTTTTTTAATGTTATTTAAAAATTTTAATGCGTGGCTCACATCCTATTTCTGTTGGACAATGCTGCTGCCCTACATACTTTCAAAATCTGGGTGAAAAGGATGCTGATTTAAACTGAGCAGTAAAGAAATTAACTGAATGAACTTAACTACAATCTGGACAGAGGCAAAGACTCACATCAAATAACAGGATTGGGTCAAGGTATGGATATGGCACTCTGCACGTGACATAGAAACTTGGAAGATTAGCTAAGCCTTGGGTTGGTAACACAGAATCCTCAGAGGCATGTAGCCCTCAAGCCTCACATCCCACCTCCTACCTCTGACCACATCCTGGCCATGACTTGTCCACCCAATAACCAACCTCTTCTCACCCACTAGACAGAATCTTCTAATGGGTATGTATGTTTTCCAGATTGGGAAATCCATTCCCAATTCATGAGAATGAAATATAAATATGATGAAATAAATCCAGCCCACAGTGTTAACAACTTGGTGTAATATTCAGAAGGAAGTTTTATCATTAGGACAATCAGTATGTAGTATCTGGTATTAAAGCATTTTTAAGAGAATTTGGCATATAGGGAATCTGACAGGTTATTTTTTGTGATTCTAACATAAATATGCAAATAATTTCAGAACTGTTTTGAAAGGATTAAGAGAAAACACAGTAAATAATATTGGAACAATTCAGACAATTTTTTATGTCTATTTGTTTTGCTATGTTCGCAAACTTAATGTAGATTTACAAGAGATTTTTAAGTTCTTGGGAAATTTCTCCTTGTTAGAGTCAATAATTTGCCCTTTCAGGCATCCAAAACTGTATAAAAGAAATGAAACCTATTAAATATATTGGTACATGTTTAAATGTATAAGGAATTTAATTAAATTAGATTTGTTAATAGGACTGGCTATTTAAGGACTCCTGGTCTTACAACTTGAATAGATTAAATAACTAACCTAAGAAAAAGGGGAGTTATTTGCTTTTATTTTAATCATGTTTTATATAGAATACAAGATTTATAAGATAAAATTAAAAGTTTAATAAACAGATTAATTTTTTAAAATTTTGTACATTGTTTACCTAAAACTCAAGTATTAGAAATAGTTCTTTCTATGCACAAAAGCCCCACTCAGGACATGAAAAAATCATGCACAGCCACAAGGGAAGGTATCCAAAATTTTTGCGGGAAAGCCAAGTCCATCCTTGTACTGAAATGATCCTTGTTTCCTGGGTAATGTTTCCATTACAGAATTAAAAGGTAGTCTTAATAGGATGTAATAGAACTTTGTAATTGGATGTCACCTCAAACTCTGTATCTGCCTCAGGATATCCCCATCCTTGGAAGCATTTGCCTGGTTATGCCCACAAAACGTGGCTGTGTGGGTTGTGTGCAAGCCCTCTGTGAGCAGCCCTTCAGCCAAGGAGACCACATTGGGGCAGGGGTGCTGGACTGCTCGTACAGTGAAGAACTCCACCCTTGGCAGAGGTCTCAAAGAGTACCTTCATATCACCTTGAACTAGGACTAAAGAGACAGTAAAAACCAAGCAAGGGGTATCTTGCAATCCTGACATTTCTCTCTCATTATTGAAAGAACCAAAGTTGGGCTTATCACAGAAAGAGGATTCATTCCTAATTCTGGCAGTCCTTAAAATATCTTCGGTATGTCCACAATAGCAACCATGTCAAGATGCTAACCCAGACATGCCTTGTACTTTGATACTCCATATTTTCCTTTCAGAGAGAAGCAGGAATAAAGTTGAAAACACAATGTGGGAGCCAAATCACGGAGGGCCAGAAACTAAAACCAAAGGGCATTTACTTTATTTAAAAGGCAGTGATGAATTGGCCAAGATTTTAAAGCAGACAAGTAAATTTATAAAAATAAAATTTTTTTTTTAAAAAAGCACTTTAAAAAGACCAGTCTTGGGGCGCCCAGATGACTCAGTCGGTTAAGCCTCCGCTGATGATTTCTGCTCAGGTTATGATCTCAGGGTTATGAGATCAAGCCCAATGTCTGGCTCGTGCTCAGCCAGAGTCTGCTTGAGAGATTCTCTCCCTCTCCTTCTCTCTATGCCCCTCCCCTGCCTCGGATTCTCTGTCTCTCTCTCTCAAATAAGTGGATAAGTCTTAAAAAAAAAAAAAAAAAAAAAAAAAAAAAGACTAGTCTTTTCCAGTAGCACACATTCAGGGAGAACCTAAAGGTAAGAGACCAGGAAGAAGGTACAGCAAGAGCTGCCTGAGATCTGAACTAGTGTTGTCTAAGTTGTAGGGCAACTAATTTATGGTGTGAAGCGGGATACTTTTGTGAGTAAGAGAGCGGTAGCAGAATGGGGGTGTTTGGGGTAAATTTCAGTTGTCCTGGGCAAACTGGGATGTACAGTCACTCTAGCCAGTGGGAAGGCAAAGGAAGAAAGATGATAGAGAAATGTGAAGAAAAAAAGCAAAAAGACAGTGATTGACCAGACTCAGGAGGTCAAGAGGGAAGGAAGAATCAAATACAATGCAGAGCTCTAGGTAACTTGGAGAATACTGGCACCATGAACAGAAACTGGACACACCTGGGTGCTGGGTAGGGGAGGAAGTAGCCAGGTAGAGATGTCCAGCAAACAACAAATGCTGGATTAAAACCTGACCAGGTCAGGAGATAGAAATATGGGACTCATCTCCATAAGGAGGGAGGGAAAAGAAGGAAGAGAAAGACAGTCTTGGGAATACACTTAACTATAGGAGGAGAAAAGGAAGGGTAGTCAGTGAAGGAGTCAACAAAGGGGTCAGAGACATACAAAGAGGAAAATCAGGCCCTACCACCAAAACAAAGGCTTTCGTGAGTGAGTTTAGAGAAAACAGGAGAACAATGGAGCAGACACTATAAGAAACACCAGTTTGAGGAGAAGTAAGCCAAAACCACTGGATTAGCAATCAGGGAGCTACCAGTCAATCAAGAATCTCTCTCTTTTTTTTTTTATTATGTTATGTTAATCACCATACATTACATCACTAGTTTTTTTTTATGTTATGTTAATCACCATACATTACATCATTAGTTTTTGATGTAGTGTTCCATGATTCATTGTTTGCGTATAACACCCAGTGCTCCATTCAATACATGCCCTTTTTAATACCCATCACCAGGCTAACCCATCCCCCCACCCCCTCCCCTCTAGAACCCTCAGTTTGTTTTTCAGAGTCCATCGTCTCTCATGGTTCATCTCCCCCTCTGATTTCCCCCCTTTCATTTTTCCCTTCCTACTATCTTCTTCTTCTTTTTTCTTTAACATATAATGTATTATTTGTTTCAGAGGTACAGGTCTGTGATTCAACAGTCTCGCACAATTCACAGAGCTCACCATAGCACATACCCTCCCCAATGTCTATCACCCAGCCACCCCATCCCTCCCACCCCCCACCACTCCAGCAACCCTCAGTTTGTTTCCTGAGATTAAGAATTCCTCATATCAGTGAGATCATATGATACAAGAACATCTCTTTAGAGAGCTGGGAAATGAAGTTACATTGCAAGGTAAGTAGTGAGTAGTGACAAGAAAGTAGAAACTCAGAGGATAGACTATCCTCTTTTAAATGCTCAATAGTGAAAGAAGGAGAAAGACCACAGGGTTCTGGGGAGATAATCCAACCCTATACAGAAAACATATTTCCAAGGCCAAAATCCTAAAGCTAAATTCAAGTTCTCTACCCAGGTGAGAACCATGTGAAAACCGTCTGATTCTCTTGGGCTCTGCCTCTTCATTTTGGAGAGAGCCCAGTAAAGCCCACATAATAACCTACAGCATGTTAACTTCTGTTTGAAGTCTCTCAGTGATTGTAAATTCTGGATCAACTGTTTCAGTTGAATTCAAGTCAAGTGGTTCTTTGTGCTACTGGAATTTTTTCAAAAATCTCATCACTCATTCAAATTCCCATTTTATGTTATTTAGAAGACTGTCGATTTAGGTATATTCCACCGTAGAAATACAATTTTAATTTGTAACTTATAAAGTAAAAGTTTGCTTTCATCTTTAAAAAGGTAGAGAAAGGGGAAAGAGAGGAAGGTGGGAAGAACAGAGACAGGAGTGGCAACTCGTTTGTATATACATGGAGGTAAATAAAATTCCCTCTAGACTGGCTCATTTGAACACTTGGTCATTAATCAAGACAGTACTCCAAGAAAATTGAAACTGACTTACATTATTGATTGTTCTGTGTTTTGCCCACCCATCCCCAATCTCAAACCCTCTCCCTGTACCTGTCTAGCTCCTGGTCATGATTGGGTTACAGCTAAACAACACTTTGCCATTACTGCCCTTTAAAATGGGGTTGGCATAACATGCCATATGGGATTTTCATAATCCTTGACATCCTTTATTGCTATTATTTTATACTGTCTGACTTCCTCACCAACCAATAGTCTAAGAGGTTAAGAACCATGGCTGTCTTGTATACAACTGTATCAATACTTTGCATAGGGCCTAGCATGAAGTAGGTGCCTAATACTACTCAGGAAATGAATAAATACACAAAGCTTTGAAAACAATATAATCATTTATCAATGCTGGTTCTATCTCCTATTTTGGACAGACTACAGCATTATTTTTTAATTCGTAGAATTAAAAATCATAGTACTTCAGAGCAACAGTGATATTTAAAGATGATCTGGTTTAAATAAATTTATTTATTATCTATCTAGTTATCTTTGGGGGGAGGGAGAGGGAGAGAGAGAGAATCTTAAGCAGACTCCACGCCCAGCACGTAGCCTAATGCGAGGCTCGATCTCACAACCGGGAGATCATGACCTGAGCTGAAATCAAGAGTCAGACGCTTAAGCGACTGAGCCACCTGTGTGCCTTGCAAACACTTATTTTTAGCAACAGATTTTTATTTTCCCAAAACACAATCTTATAAAGGCACTAATTTCTAAGTCAGGTAAAGTAGAGCTGTTCTGTTGAAACATAAGCTGCGGAAACCAGAGCTCTATCTGTTCCGGGGCTCTCATTTTCAAGGAAGCGCACCACACACATCTAACACAGCTCCACAGGAAGTTGAGGCTTACTGGATGACAACTTGAAAACCATGAGACTGGATTAATAGCCACAATATATTAAAAGCACCTGGAAAACAAGAAAAATTACAAGTTAACCAATGAAAAAAAAGTGTGCAAAGTTTATGAAGAGGAAATTTACCAGGAAAGATATACTCATGGCCAGTAAAGATATGTAAAGATGAGGAACTTCTCTGCTAGTCAGGAAAATGTAGGTTGAAACAACAGGAAAAAACTTTACCCATAATACTAGTAAAATGCAAATATTTATATTATCAAGAAGGACAAATAGCACTGTCACGGAGGTGGAAATCGAGCAGCAATTCCAATTTTAAACTGTATCTGCCCTTTGACCCAGAAAACTACTTCTAAGAATCTATTCTACAAAAATTCCAAGCATGTGCATAAAGATAAACATCCTTGAACGTATCTTTGTGCTTTTATTTTTAGGTGCAAATTTCAACCTTTGTTTGTATTTCTTTTTTTTTTTAAGATTTTATTTATTTGTTAGAGAGAGACACAGAGAGAGAGAAAACACAAGCAGTGGGAGTGGGAGAGGGAGAAGCAGGCTTCCCGCTGAGCAGGGAGCCTGATGCGGGGCTCGATCCCAGGACCCTGGGACAATGACCTGAGCCAAAGGCAGACACTTAACAACTGAGCCACCCAGGCGCCCCCCTCATTTGTATTTCTTGTTGCAAAAGTTCACCAAAAAATGCAGGCAAAAGGGAATATAAGCAAAAGACCAAGTTTTAAAACAACATTTTCCTTATGGCCAGTAAGTTCTAACTTAAAAGTAAGGTATGTTTTTATATTTAATCAATTATTTTCTTGGAATACTAAAATCTATTTATTAAGGGGCTCCTGGGTGGCTCAGTTGGTTAAGCATCTGACTCTTGGTTTCGGTTCAGGTCATGATCCCAGGTTCATGAAATCAAGCTCAGCAAGGAGTCTACTTCTCTCCTTCTCCCTCTGCCCCTCCCCCTGCTTGCATGTTCTATCTTTTTCTCTCTAAAATAAATAAATAAATCTTTTTAAAAAATCTATTTATTGAAACACGTATCAGAGGTGCCTGGGTGGCTCAGTCGTTAAGCATCTGCCTTCGGCTCAGGTCATGGTCCCAGGGTCCTAGGATCGAGCCCCGCATCGGGCTCCCTGCTCCGCGGGAAGCCTGCTTCTCCCTCTCCCACTCCCCCTGCTTGTGTTCCCTCTCTCACTGTGTCTCCCTCTGTCAAATAAATAAAAAAAATCTTAAAAAAAAAAAGAAAGAAACATGTATCAGTTTACTTCTCCCAAAGCCATTATTTCATGGTATTTGTCAGGTGCATAAATACTTACCTGAAACAAAAGAAAAACTTAGACCTCAAAAATGTTCATATTAATACGACATAGAATCAGGGCACCTAGGTGGCTCAGATGGTTAAGCATCTGCTTTCAGCTCAGGTCATGATCCCAGGGTCCTGGGATTGAGTCCCACGTCAGGCTCCTGGCTCAGCAGAAGTCTGCTTCTCCCTCTCCCTCTGCCTCTCCCCCTGCTCATGCTCTGTCTCTCTCTCTGTGTTTCTCTGTCTCAAATGAATAAATAAAATCTTTTTTAAAAAATATGATATAGAATCTTACAAGCAAGTCAGATAAATGTGTTTTAAAACGGTTCTTCACGGATGCCTGGGTGGCTCAGTCAGTTAAGCGTCCAACTCTTGATTTCGGCTCAGGTCATGATGGTTTCGGCTCAGGTCGTGATCTTAGGGTTGTGGGATCGAACCCCAAGTGGGGCTCCACACTCAGCGCAGAGTCTGCTTAATATTCTCTGTCCCTCTGCTCTGCCCCTCCCCCCTGCACACTCTCTCTCTCAAATAATTATTTTTACAAAAATAAAACAGTTCATTATACCAGTGACATGAAACACAATTTCCAAGCTGTAATTCACATCCAATTTAAAACATTTTTTGCTATATGCATACTTGGTAACACTTTTTTTATATTTTAAATTTATGACTGAAGTATAGTTGACATACAATGTGTTATTAGTTTCAGGTGTACAACATAGTGATTTGACAATTCTATACATTACTCAATGCCCACCATGATAAACGTAATCACCATCTGCTGCCATACAATGTTATAACAATATTATTGACTATATTCCCTATACTGTACTTTTTATCTTTGTGACTTACTTTATAACTGGAAGTTTGTACCTCTTAATCTGTTTCATCTATTTTTCCCATCCCTCCACCCACCTCCCCTCTGGCAGCCACCAGTTTGCTCTCTGGGTTTAAGAGACTGTTTTGTTTGTGCATTTGTTTTGTTTTTTAGATTCCACATGTAAGTGAAATCATACAGTATCTGCCTTTCTTTGTCTGACTATTTTTGAGTATTATTTTTAATCAAAGAAATTTAGCAACAACCTCAATGACTATCAGTAGGAGACTTAAATAAATCATTATAGTCTCACCATAGAACACTATGAAATCATTTTTTAAATGGCAGATAATAAAAACAATAAAAGTAGTAGTTGATCCAGTGGAATGTTAAATGGGAAGTTGTTGTTTTTTTTTTTAAGATTTTATTTATTTATTTGACAGAGAGAGACACAGTGAGAGAGGGAATACAAGCAGTGGGAGTGGCAGAGGGAGAAGCAGGCTTCCCGCTGAGCAGGGAGCCCAATGCGGGGCTCGATCCCAGGACCTGGAATCATGACCTGAGCCAAAGGCAGACGCTCAACGACTGAGCCACCCAGGCGCCCCTAAATTGAAAGTTTTAACCAAGGCACCAAGATGCAGTAAATATAGGATACCAAAGTCAGTACCAATTGAACTTCCAATAAAAATAGTAAAACAAACCTATTCCTGAACTTCCAAACATCTCACCCTATTCAAAGATACAAAGGGAGCAATTTATGGGAAATCAAGAGGATGTGAAGAGTACTTCTTTGCCGAAAGCCACTGGTGTACAATGAGTAGCACCAGGGGGGTGGGGGTGGGGGGGGGGGTCTGAGGTGCTCCCTGTATCTCAAGTTAAGAGCGAGGGACTCGAGAGAGACGACTCAGAGAAATAAACACCTCCTGAGTTTAGCAGGACAGGGGATACAGTGACATGGGGTCTGATACCATCTGAGAAATCGAAGCGGAGAGGCAGGCTGTCTAGCTTCTGATGGATGAATTGAAGGAGAGCTGGCTGGGTTGGGGGTGCCTGCACCCCCAGAGTCTATGGAAGGAGGAAGACTTCAGTGATTCCCTTGGGCCAGATGTGCACCGTGAGGAACAAAGAGCCAGCCGGATGTCTTCGTGGGGCCTGTCTCGTGGGGCCAACTGAGAGGGCAGGCCGCCAGGCCTCAGCAGAGAGAAGCTGAAGGTAAAGATGTATTTCTCAGGACTGTGTATGGGAAAGCAGCCAGGGGAAGGCCAGTTCATCATTCTTGTCAAGGGAAATACAGGTGGGAAGCCCCCAGGGGCTGGGGATGTCCCAAAAGAACCCATGCAAACATCCAGAAGAAAAAGAGTCCATTGTTAAAAGCTGCCCAATTCAGAAAGCACAAACTCACCCAACCATGAAATGGCTTTCCCGTCCCCTTAGTGCCTCCCCTTCTCCCTGCCTCAACCCTGAACGTGTCAGAGACCAAAGAAGATGCCAGAAGAAGAGCAGGAGGATAGGATGGAGAAAGAAGAACCTGAATTCAACCCACCTTTCCCAGGCGTGGTTTCCCACCTATGGCAGGTGCTAGCCGGATGACGGGAGGGGTTCATGGCTTAACTATAAGGAAGTAAGGCAAGTTTATTTCTCACATGGTCCTGATGTTCTAATTTCTGAACTGACACTGTGTTTACAGCCTTAAATGACTTCAGGATCTTTTATTACCTAAGGATGATCGAAGAGCTGTGGGCCTTCCAGAGCTTTCATCTAGTAGCAGAGGAAACAACACCCCCCACTGAATAAAGTTTAAATGATCAAGAGACAATAAACAAATTGCTTTCTGACTACGAGCCCTGTGAGCTCCACGTACAGATGCATTCGCATTTATCAAGTGCTGATTTTGCCCAGCACAGTGAACACGTCACTGCGGTTTTTTATCAGTTACACTGTAGATGCTGCCAGAGAAAGAAGACACCAGGTTAATAAAGCAACTATAGGACAATGAAATCCCATTGAAATTAAACATAAACAAAACAAAGCATTGTGTGTGTATGTTTATGTTCAAGTGTGTATATTTGCAAATGTTCGGGAGAATTATGAGAATGCATATTAGTTAGGGCTCCCCAGAGAAACAGAGCTGACATGATGTGTGTACATATATAGAGAGAGATTTATTTTAAGGAATTGTCTTATGCCATTGTACGGGCTAGTGAATCCAAAATCTGATGGGGGAAAGCTGGTAGGCTGGACACTCGAGGAAGAGTTGAAGTTTGAACCCAAAGATCATCTGCTGGCAGAATTCCTTCTCGCTCAGAGGATGTCAGTCTTTGTTCTAATTAAGACCTTCAACTGATGAGATGAGGCTCACCCACATCGAGGAGGATAATCTGCTTTACTCAGAGTCCACCAATGTAAATCTTAATCTCACCCAAAAAACACCTTCACTGGGGCGCCTGGGTGGCTCAGTTGGTTAAGCATCTGCCTTCGGCTCAGGCCATGATCTCAGGGTCCTGGGATCGAGCCCTACGTCGGGCTCCCTGCTCAGTGGGGAGTTTGCTTCTCCCTCTCCCTCTGCCCCTCCCAGTTTGTGCTCTCTCCCTCTCTCTCTCCCCCAAATAAATAAAATGTTAAAAAAAAAAAAACACCTTCACAGAAACACTGGGAACAATGTTTGACCAAATATCTGGGCACCATAGCCTAGTCAAGTTGATACACAAAATTAACCATCAAAGGAGGATACACACCAAACTACTGATAGTGAGTGGGTACCTCTGGGGCAAGGAGCAAAAGTGAAAGGAAATCAGGCAGAATTTTCACTTCTTACTCTATCAGTGTACACTATTCACCCCTAACCCCGAGTAAGGAGGAAAGTGTTCTGCTCCTGCTCCAGCATTATAAACAATGATGCTCTGAACCTTCTCAGGTAGAGACATTTTCCAG